CTGGAGGCCCTCTCCAACCTGCAGTCCCCGCTGGACCCCAGCACGCTGCTGGCTGAAGTCTGGTGAGCCCCGAGCCCCCGGCGCCTCCTCCCGCCCTGCTGAGCCCCGCCCCCCACTGCTGACTGCTTTCTGGCCCGCAGCGTGGAGCAGTGCACCTTCATGGACTCCAAGATGAAGCCCCTGTGGGTGATGTACAGCAACGAGGAGGCGGGCAGTGACGGCAGCGTGGGCATCATCTTTAAGAACGGGGACGGTGAGCAGGCCGGGCCCCGGGCAGAGGGCCGCGGAGGCCTTGGCCCCCGACCCGTGCTGCGCTGGGTGGGGGGATGGCGAGGGCGGCCTGAAGATGGGGTCCCGGGGCTGCGGGGCCTGGGCCTGGCTGGGAGTGGAGAGCCCACCAGAAGCTCGTGCTTTTCCTTCCGGGGGGCGGCTGCCCAGACCTCCGCCAGGACATGCTGACTCTGCAGATGATCCAGCTCATGGATGTTCTGTGGAAGCAGGAGGGACTAGACCTGAGGTGAGAGGCCCTCCTGTCATCCGCTTGTTCTCGCTGCAGGCCTAGGACCCTGTCCCTTTGGAGGAGTCCTCTGTCAGAGCCAACACTGCCACCTCCGTTGGAAAAGGGGTTGTTCTAAGAAGAGCAGAGACCAGTTTAAAATTAGGGCCAAGGGAGGCGATGTGGGGCCACGGAGTGTGAGGGTGGAGAGGCCAGGCCTGGCCCGCGGCGTCCGTCTCGCTCCATTGTTTCCTTCACCCCACGCATCCCTGGCCTCCTGCCCCATCTTGGGAAGCGGTGGCATCTTCTTCCAGGCCACCTGGATTTCTCTCCGAGCAAACATGAGCTCGGCCAAAGTGCCTCCGTTCCTTCGGTGCAGCTTGGGTGCAGGTCCTGACCTCTCCAAGGAGTCTTCCCCCCGAGTTCCAGGCGTCACGGACTCCTCCCCAGCGCCTCTCCCCTCCCTTGCAGCATCTCCTGGGGCTGTTTTGGCTGTCTTGAGCCCCTCTGGGTGGGGCGGAGTGTCAGGCCACCCCAGGGACAGCCCGTGACCTCAGCATTTCCTTGCCCCTCCTCCCCTCTGGCTAGGATGACCCCCTATGGCTGCCTCTCCACGGGGGACCGCACAGGCCTCATTGAGGTGGTACTTCACTCAGACACCATCGCCAACATCCAGCTCAACAAGAGCAACATGGCGGCCACAGCAGCCTTCAACAAGGATGCCCTGCTCAACTGGCTCAAGTCCAAGAACCCTGGGTAGGTTCTGGGCCCGGGGACGGATGCCGTCTCCTTTCCAAGAGTCAAAGGTTTAGGAGTCAAAGGTGAGGGGCAGGGCCCGTGACAGTCTCCACGGCTTCTTGGCTCAGCCGGGGACCAGGTCTGCTCTGTTGGGGCGGGGTGGGTCTCCATGAGCCCAGGGGTCGGTTCCCCGTGTCGCTATGTAGCGACCACTCTCAGCTTAGGGACGTAAAACCACCACCAGGTATTATAGGCTCACAAACCTGCAGCTTGAGCTGGCTGAGCTAAGTGGTTCTCTGGCCTGGAACCACTCATGCCACTGTTCGCCGCTGGTGCCTTGACCGGCCGGGTGGGCCCCGGTCACGTGTCTCCACGTGGCCTCCCCTCTGCAAGTAGACCGGCCTTGGCTTCCTGAACCGGCCTGGCAACAGGTTAGATTCGAGAGCTGCCAGGTGTCTTAAGGCCGAGGCTGTGGGATGAGCCCAGCACCGCTTCCTCCCTGTCCCACTGGTCCTAAGGCCAGATTCAAGGGGAGGGGACACAGACCCCACCTCTTCGTAGAAGTTGCTGGGAAATGCGTGCCCACCGTTTTGAATCCCCCTTCCCACCAACACACACACAGGGAGGCCTTGGATCGAGCCATCGAGGAGTTTACCCTCTCTTGCGCCGGCTACTGCGTGGCCACTTACGTGCTGGGCATCGGTGATCGGCACAGCGACAACATCATGATCCGCGAGAATGGGCAGGTAGGGCAGAGCCGGCTGCCAGGTGGGCTGCACCCTCCCGGCTTTCTCTCTCCGTCCCAGCGCCCCCTTCCCCGACCGGGGCACTCTCCTCTCTGACCGCTTCTCCCTCCCTCTTCTTAGCTGTTCCACATTGATTTTGGCCACTTTCTGGGGAATTTCAAGACCAAGTTTGGAATCAACCGTGAGCGAGTCCCGTTCATCCTCACGTATGACTTTGTGCACGTGATCCAGCAGGGGAAAACGAGTAACAGTGAGAAGTTTGAAAGGTGAGGGTGCTCAGGGTCCCGGGCCGGGCTCAGGGTCGGGTCCTGTAGGAGGAGGGGTTGGGGGCCCTTTCCGGGGCAAGAGCAGGGTGGGAATGGCTGGGAGGAGCCAGAGCCCCACCTGCCACGTCCCTCTGGCCCCGCAGATTCCGGGGTTACTGTGAGCGAGCCTACACCATCCTGCGGCGTCACGGGCTGCTCTTCCTTCACCTCTTCGCCCTGATGCGGGCCGCTGGCCTGCCGGAGCTCAGCTGCTCCAAAGACACCCAGTATCTCAAGGTAAATGCCAGGGTAGGGCCCCGCCGGGCAGACCCGGTAGCCCCCAAGTCCCCAAGGCCCGCCTCTGAGCACTGTGGACCCCACAGGGCACTCCCGGTGGGCGTTCCTCATGCCGCCCGCGACCCAGCCGGGGGTCAGCCTGGGTCCATGGCAGATGTGCGGGGACCTCCCCTGGCCCGCCCTCCTGTCCTCCGCAGGCTGCCGTGGTTCCACTCGAACAAGAGGGCGCGATTAGATACATTCCGTCCTCGTTTAAAAATGCTTTTCCTTCCTGTGTCTTTTCAGTGTGGGAGAAGCTGGGGGGTCGGGAGGGTGGTCGGCCACGAGCCCCTCTGTGGTGCCTGGTTCATGCACAACGACGCTGCCCCCTCCTCCGCTCCCCCTGTGCAGAAGGTGAGGCCACCTGTCCACCCCTGCGACTTTGGGGGCCCGCGGCTTCCTGGCTGGAGCTGGCATCTTACTTGGAGGGTGGGTCAGGAGACCCATCTCGGTTTGGGATCAGAACAGAGAGCTTTTCCCAGGGCAGACGTTGGTGGCTGTCTCCTGATTCCCTTCCTGCGAGTCTTTCAGGAGGGAATTTACAGTATTCGGGGCGGGGTGGGGGTTGCCCCCCCTCGGGTCGAGCTCACTGCTTTGATGGTTTTACCCCAGGACTCTCTGGCGTTGGGGAAGACTGAGGAGGAGGCTCTAAAGCACTTCCGAGTGAAGTTTAACGAAGCCCTCCGGGAGAGCTGGAAGACCAAAGTGAACTGGCTGGCCCACAATGTGTCCAAAGATAACAGGCAATAGCCGCCCGAGAACCACCCACCCGCCTCGGGAACCGGGCACCGGGCACCCTCAGCCGTCCTGTGGGGCCGAAGAGCCTGAACGGCACCCCGTGGGCAAGCGCCTACACACTGCCTTTTGTTTACACTGGTTATTTATTTATGACTTGAAATGTTTCAGGAGCTAAACAGCCATAAATGGAAATGTATCCTTTGTACAGGGGAGGGGCGCCGTCCTCCCGCGCCCCTGAGCCGAGCCTCAGGCTCTGAGGAGGAGACGCTGGGAGTCGGGCACCTCCGAGGCCGCATCTTGCTAAGGACCGTCAGTCACCCCGAGTCTTCCAGCTGGTGAATCAGGACCCAGCAAGGACTGCTCTCTCCCCGCTGCCGGGAAGCCTGCCTTCTTCCCGGGCTCCCGCCGGGCCGCACAGGGCTTGGCGCCTGGCGATCACCCTGGTGACGGGGTGCCCACGACTCCGTTCCCCCCTCCACCTTTGTGCTCTCCACTGACTGAGCACTGGGCAGCTCCCAGGGGAAGCCTGGGTACCCTCTAGATTCAGGGATGCTTGCTTTCCACTTTTAAAGTGACTCGGGTACGGGACTGCTCCCATCTCTCTGCTGTAAAGCAATTTTGTTTGCGGGTAGGAAAGAAAACAAACTACTCACTGAACCTCGATGGCTCAGAATGGCCTCAGCCCCAGAAAGTATAATATACGCTGGTCCTCAAGACATTAAAAAGATTGGAGCTTGATTGAGCTCAACCATGGATCAAGGCGAACGCAGGTCAGAATACTCGGTTGCAATTATCTGAATCCGGCCTCGTAAAGCAGGCTTTGAGGACAGAGGACTTGCTCTTCAGACTCGCCCCTTTAACCTGCTGTGGGTGAGCAATCAGGTATCGGAAATGTGATGTCGGTCTGTGGTGGAATGTTTTTCTCTGACGGTACTTGGCTTGAAGCAGTTCAGGCTTCGCCTTCGGTGGACCTGAAGAGCTCTAGCAATGCCAGGTTCCTGGGCCCCTCCCGGCCATCTGAGGCCGACTCCGGAGACGGGGCTAGGAATCTGGGCTTCTCGAAGCCCACGGGTGAGCCTGACGTGTTAGCAGCCGCCTTGGGCCCCACCCAGCTCACTACTGGTCTCTCAATCTCTCAAAGGCCTCGCAAGGCCTGGCAGAGCCGGGAGCGGCTGCCCTCTGTGCAGGTGCGTGGCTTTAAAAAAAAAGAAGCCAGGTGCCGACCTTCTTTGGTTAGAGGCACAGTCCGTGAGCAGGGAGTACCGGCCACAGACCACCACTGACCACACCCTTGTCCCCAACTAAGTGCTGAATTCATTCGCCCCACCTCGCCGGTTTGGCAATAGGAAGAGCCGAGTGTATGTCTCTATGTTGTGTTATTTATTTAAACGAGTCTATGTGCTTCCTGGCGTTCTGGTTCGGGTACACGGCCTGTGCACCTGCCGAGAAAGAATTTTTTTTTTTTTTGGTCTTTTAACATTTCTGTACGGGGAAGGTGAGTTCAACACTTAACCCATGGGGGCTGAAGACCCGCACTCTGTGAAGCCTTGACAGGAGAGGTAAAAGCATACTACAAGAAAGAAAAGCCTCTTTATGTTGTGTTCTCAGGTCAAAAAAACCCCAAAAGCCAAAAAAAACCACAAAAAACAAAGGGGATGCAGGATTCCAACAGAACTGGGCCCAAAGCTGACACACTGCCACTGGGGTTAGAACCAGCACTTTATTGTCGTGGATACACGTTCTGGCCTCATCAGTACACACATCCGGAAAGCGGCCCACGCGGAGCCCGCATCAGCCTCCACCATCGTCTATACGGGGCGGCTAGAGCAACAGGACACAGAGGACGGCCACACACGACGCAGGACAGCCGCAGTGTCCTCGCGACTAGCAGTCATGATCACAGAACAGGATTCAAATGATTTTCCCCCAGTTTTAGAAATCTAAAATTTTACATGTAAATTAAAAACAAAGTGCCACAGGGGTTTTAGCTCAGGACGTGTCCTCTCCTTTTCCTCCCCCACCAGGCCGAGCAGCGGGGCTCCCCACTCCTGGGGAGGGGGCTTACCTCTGGGGCTGTTGGGGGGGAAGCTAGCACTTTGCCTTCTGGCCACAGGGCGTCCTTGCAGTGCGTCTGTCCTCGGACGTTCCGAGTACGGGCCACTCAGGCCTGTTCTGTCTCCAACCAAGTGGCCAGACGCTTCGCACCGTCCGTACGCACACTCACCAGCAGGGCAACGGACATCTAGTAGGTATGAACCCAAGGCTGCGCACGAGGAGTCCAGCTTCCTGCGCAAGGAGCTGCCGGTCATCGGAGGAGTGTGTGAAAGAGGCCAGGGACCCCGGCATGCCCACCCCTCTGCCAGATCAGAAATGGGTAGAATCCCAAAGGAAAGGCCTGGCCGTTTCCCAGCCTCCAGAGAGGGGTCCCGATCTGGTGCCCTCCGGCTGAGCTCGGGTGGGAGCGCAAGTCCATTCCCCCTCACTGCCTGGCCACCCACCGAGGGGTGCACCCAGCAAGGCCCGAGCAGGGCAGGTCCCTCTCCTCTCAGGGTGGGGGTGAGGCAGGAGCCCGCGGGGTCTCTCCTGCACTGTGTTTCAGGCTTCACCTTGCATATGCCAGTCCCGGGTCACACTAGCATGGAGGACACGAGGAATCGCAATTTATTTACAAAATATTAAAAAGTCAGTTCATCATCTACATATTAACCCCCATTCTGCCATTTTATACATGCACTAGTTTGGAAAAAATAAAAACTTTTAAAAAAAAGAAGAAAAAAACGGATTACGAGGTGGGAGTGAGCGATTTTAACCCCTGGTCGAGTCCGGTCACTGCAGCTTTTCTGGAGGCGCGAGGGGGCCGCGCAGAGCGAGCCGTGGACAGCGTGCGTCAGCTCCTCACATAACTTAAGAGCGGTCTGGGTGGAGGGCGGGGGGCCTACACACCAAGCACAGGCGGATGGTCAGCGATGGGGAGGGTCTGCAGACCTACTGGCCAGAATGACTTTGTACACCGTGGACCCTTGGGCCTGGGAGGACAGATGGCAGCAGAGTCTCTTGAAGCAGAAAGGGAGGTGGTGGAGGGAGTGGCCTCGCGGCTCAGTAGCTGAGGGTCGAGTCGTCCCACTCCAGCTGCTGCTGCCTGTTCACGTTCTGCTGGTCTCCGTGCTCTCCCTCCTCCTCCTCGCTGCTTTCCGACTCGGCACTGGTGATGTCATCCTCCTCCTCCCCATCCTCGCTCTCCTCTTCCTCTTCCTCTTCCTCCTCCTCCTCGCTGCTTTCCGACTCGGCACTGGTGATGTCATCCTCCTCCTCCCCATCCTCGCTCTCCTCTTCCTCTTCCTCTTCCTCCTCCTCCTCGCTGCTGTGCTGGTCCTCGTACGTCTGACAAAGAGACGGCATGTGAACCGAGCCCCCGGGCCCCGCCTCTGCACACGAGCCGAGCTTGCACAGCTGTTCACCCTCCGGGAGCCGTGGAGGAAGGAACCCCCCGTGTCACATTCCACGTCGAGGGCGGGCTGGACCACGCTGGAAGTCACCTCATCCCAGACGGGAGGGAAAACGCAGCTCTAGTCGCTTCCCACAGGGTCTGTCACGTGCGGTGGCATGAGCTAGGATAAGGCCTCTCTGGGCCCTCAGTGTGTCCACCTGAGAAGCGGGGACACCTGCACCTCACCAACTTGTCATGTGGCTCACGTGACATCTAAGCCACATAAACGTGGACGTGCCACCGCCATGTGGCTTCTCTGGGGCGCGCGTCGCTCTGGCCCTGGCCTGCAGTGGTTTTCAGTTGCGGGGTCGCCTGTCAGCACCTACCTCCATGGGGTTTACGGTGATGGTCAAGGCAGAGTCGTCCCAATCCATCTCGTTCTCCTTCCCGGCGTCCTGGTCCCGCATGGTTCGCTGGTGAGCAACCCGGATCCGGAACACGCCCAGGATGATCATGAAGACCAGGAAGCTAACGCACACCACAATCACCACCGTGGCGGTGCTGGGGACAACTGTGATCAAGGGGAGAGGAGGCGGTGAGGCTGGTGCCCGCCCCAGGTCGTGCCCGCGACCCCCCCGCCCCACGCACACAGGGCTGCTCCGTCTGACCCCAGAGAAAGGAAGAGATGTAAGGAGAGTCTGAGCACAGGTTTCGAGCCCTGGGCTGGCCACTTTCTGCCCTGCTGTGCTTCCATCCCTCGCGGATGGTGCAGAATCACAGAGCCCAGTCAGCTAGGGCTGCTCGGACCGGGGGCCAGGCTCCCAGCAGCACGCGGGAGGGTGTCCCCCCTAGACCTGACCCAGACGGCCCTGCTTCTGCTCACAGTCCTACCTGCAAAGGGGTGGGGGCTGGCCAGGTTGTGACCCGAGAGGTCGACGAAGGCATGGTGCTCTGGGTAGACGAACTGGGGCTGCGCTGCCATGTGGCTGGCGTGCTCCATGGGGCTGGCTGCGTGGATGACGTTCACCTGCAGCAGAGACACACACAGCAGCCTGAATGTGGCCCAGGGACGGAAATGCAGTTCAGAAGCTACCGGGACTAGCGCGACTCAAAGGGATCCCTGGACCAGCACTGCTGAGCAGATGAGAATAGAGAAAAAAATCAAGGGTTAGCTCTCAGCAACCATCATTAACTGCCTGATGCTGTCACCCGTCCCAGAAATAGAGCGCTGTTCTAATAATTCCCTTTCATTGTATTTCATAAAAGAACCTGTCCACAAAAGAACAGAAAAACCACCACCACCGTCCTTCACTGCGGGTCATTCGAGAAGCACCGGCATAGCCCATTTCCCCGCTTTTCCCCAAAACCACAGCCACATGAAAGAGCACAAATCATAACCATTTATTTCCTTTCAAATACGTCAGCCTTTGGCTCAAACAAAACCCTCATCGATTCTTCAGCACCGTGACTTCAGCATTCTGCTGCTCTGAGGTCACTGTGCAGACATTCGATTGCTGAGAATAACTCGGCCCATTTCTTCGGACCACAGAAGCCCTGAGTGACAAAGGGGCTCCCATCCCAGCCTGTGGAAGACTTCAGAGCAGGGTGAGCACCCTCTGACCACCGCGCGCTGAGTTGCCACCACCAGGCTTGGCAGACAGCACAGCACCCCTCTCCCCCGGGCCAGCCCCACGCCGGGACCC